TTCTGCCATGAGAATATTGGGTACTTTGACAATTTGGCTGTTTGACATTTAAATATGTGTGTGTGTGTGTGTGTGTGTGTGTGTGTGTGTGTGTGTACAGAAAGATATATATATATACATATATATTTATATAGGGTGTGTGTGTATGTGTGTGGGGGTATATTCTTTTTTTGTCTTTTTTTGTGGTGCAGAGGTTTGAACTTACGGCCTTAGCAGGTTCTCTACCACTTATACTCCAAACTTTTGGCTTTAGTTACTATTTAGGTAGATTTTCCAGGCTTTACCCAGAGCTGGCTTCAGACTTTGACCCTCCTGTCTCTATTTTTAGTAGAACTAGGATTAAAACCTCACACACCATGCCTGGCCAATTGTATATTATTGTCTGTGTTCTAAACTTTATTTTCCTCAATTTCAACTAAGTGGTTTTTTTTCTCCAACTTCCTCATTCCTCTCAAAACTTTTAAATAGACCCATGAAGGGAAATACATTGTCTGAAGTTACTAATATAGTACTTGTTTGGCTCACACATACTCACCCTGTCAGACCGCTGGCACCACAAATAAATTTGAGAAAAGGCTTTTCTATGCATGTGGTTGCTTGCGGCTTAGGGATAGTTTGTGGCAGAGACACTGGTACAGTTAATGGCCAAAAAAAATCCTCTCCCTTATGTAAAAAGTGATATGGGGGGCTGGGAAGGTGGCTCAGTGGTAGAGTGCTTGCCTTGCATGCATGAGGCCCTGGGTTTGATTCCTCAGCACCACATAAGCAAAAAGCAAAAAGCAAAAAGCCGGAAGTGGCGCTGTGGCTCAAGTGGTAGAGTGCTAGCCTTGAGCTGAAGAGCTGAGGGACAGCGCCCAGGCCCAGAGTTCAGGCCCCACGACCGGACCCCCCCAAAAAAAAGTGATATAGTCTTGGTTTCATTATTTCCCTAACAGGAACCTGAACAGGGTAACAAATAGCCATTTCCATTGACTTCCTCTGCATTTTCCCTGGTCTTTTGGAGGAGCACATCTTTGTAAGACTCAGGGGTTTTCATCCAAAGAAATACTTTGCCACCTCACAGTTTTGAGGCCTTGGAAAGGTCTCTTCATATTTGAATACCCTGTCTCCCATGTCTGTGAAATGGAGCTAATGGTGACAATTAACATAAGTCTTATAAGGATTAAATAGGATAATGTGAGATAAGGGTTTAGGTGCAGTGCTTTCCATAAATAAACATATAGCCCTAAGGGGAAAAAAAAAGAAAACAGTAGGTAGTTTTATAATAATAGAGCCTCTACTACTATTAGTCTGTAAGATCTAAGATGGGCACAAAAGAGCATACATTAATCTGAGCCTTGGATTAATTCTACTTCTCTACAGAATTACTCCTTCAGACTGGGAAGGCTCAAATATTGAGAAGATTCATATGGAACTGCTGAAATCCAAGAACTAGTGAAGACAAATCTTGAACTGGTTCCCTCAAGAGATCACCAGAAAGACTTGGGAATCAATGGCCATCTTAAAAGTTAGGAAGGGCAAAGAGGAAGGGGACAACATGGAACCAAATTCTGTGGGAGAATGGAACTGGTAGATGCCTGACATTCTAGCCCACACAAAAGGCCTTTGTGAGAAGCTATAAGCAAAAGACACTCCAAAGACTAAGCAAATAGAAGGAGGAAGACATTTTTATTCCTATTTGTGTGTTTGCTTGGTTTTGGTTCTAAGGATGGAAACTAGGGCCTTGTGTATGCTAGGCAAGTGCTCTGACCTAACCAAATGCTCGTCAGTACAGAACTGGTTGAATAAACTGGTTAGTCACTTACTGCAAAGTAGTTTTGGGTTTTTTTGGCCTGAACTCTGGGCCTGGGCACTGTCCCTCAGCTCTTCAGCTCGAGGCTAGTGCTCTACCACTTGAGCCACAGCGCCACTTTCAGCTTTTTCTGCTTATATGGTGCTAAGGAATCGAATCCAGGGCCTCATGCATGCAAGGCAAGCACTCTATCACTGAGCCCACTTTCCTAACCCCGAAGTATTTTTTTAATAAATTAAAAAACCATATAATTTTGCATCCAAAACACAGAGAATTATTTGGAAACCTCCCAAAGCAGGTTTTTGCTTTTCGTCTTTGTTGTTTTAGTGGTTGCTTGCTCATTTGTTTGTAGCAGAGCCTCATTATATCACCCAGGCCAGCTTTAAATTCACAATTCTCCTTTATCAGCCACTCAACTTCTAGGATTAGAATCACAAACCACCGTGTCAGCTCTTTAGCCTTCTTAAGTCTGAATGTAAGAGGAAATTGGCTCCCACATCATTTCAAAACCTTAGAAACAAAGTCAGACATTGGTGACTCATACATGTAATCCTAGCTGCTTAGGAGGCTAAGATCTAGAAGTATTGTGGTTCCAAAACAGCCCAGGCAGAAAAATCCAAGAGACCTTATCTCTACTTAATGAACTGGTCTGTGACACCCCTGTACTTCAGTTTCTCATCTCTAAAATTGGACTAACCACCTCACAGGGATTTATTGAACAGTGTACCTCATGGGCCAGATGTGTGACATATGTGTGTCTGGCTCTCAGAAGTGATCAACAGAGAAATGGCATTACTATTAATAGCCCCAGAAATTAGAATGCTATCTCCTGTATTGTTTATCATCGGAAAACTGTACTGGCAATCCCTAGATATGAATCTGAAGTCTGAGTAAAATAGAAGGAATTTCCCTCATGATCTGGCAATTTGGGAAAAAGTCTCCATCCACAGGCAGACACCTTCAACATTGTGTACCTGCAGCTCCTCCAAAGATTGGCAGAGACTTTCTCTGCCATGTCCCACATTGGCCAGGCCAGATGATCTGAACCCAGAAGAAACCAGAGAAAATAGTGGCATGTCAAGGGCACACAGCCAGCAATCCTGTCCCCTAGGCAGGCCGACCTACTAACATCATTATGACAACAGTTTTCCAGTCATTCAAAACAGAAACAATAAACCTAAAACAAGTATCCAGGGTACTAAGCTAATATTGCCTACATTCACTCCTAAGATGAGTTGTGATTGATTGTGGAAGCAAGTGCTTACTAAATACCGATGTAGTAAGCCAGGTGTTTAACCACTTGTATGGCGATGTCTGCACTTCCCGTGGCATGAAGCCCCAAACTTACTGTCAGCTGGCACTGCAGTGAGAACAAGGATTTCTAGAATGTGCTGAATCCCCTCCAGCAATGACCAGACATATAATGTTGACCTTCCATTTGTTCATCTGTAAAAGGAGAATGTCTGCCACCTTCAACCAGCCATTGAAAAAATACAAACCAGGGATTCACGCCTATAATCCTAGCTACTCAGGAATCTGAGATCTGAGGAACTTGATTAAAAGCCAACCAGGGCAGGAGAGTCCATGAGACTCTTCCATGAGACTCTTATCTCCAATTACCCAGCTCCCCCACACACACACCAAAAAAAGCCAGAAGTGGAGGTGTAGATTAAGCGGAAGAGTACCAGCCTTGAGTGAAAAAGGCAAGTAAAAGCAAGAGGTCCTGAGTTCAAGACCCAGTGCTGGCACCAAAACAAAGTAAAACAAAACAAAATGTCTGTTTGGTATGCAGCAGACATGACTTTCCTCACAACCAGAGGTCCCTTGGCCCTGTCAACATAGGGGGAGCTACTCAGCCCTCCTCAACAATCAGCTGGCCCTGCTTTTGTATTCCAAAGACATGTTCCCCTAAGTACCTTAAAAAAACAAAAACAAGAATTTCTGTGATACTATCCTCAACCAGAACTGAGAATTAGAAAGAATAACACTAAGAAGAATTATAAGGGTATTCTTTTTCAAGTTCCCTGGATATCTTCCACATTGCCCTTTCAGACTGCCCCTCCATACCCATCCTCTCTCTCTCTCTTCCTCTCCCCCTTCCCCCCCATCAATGAAGGCCTTGCTACTCCAGTCTTATTCACAGGATTCCTGATTCTGCCAGGTTCCTATCCTAGAGATTCACTTGTCATGAATACCATATATAATAAGTGTTTTTAGCTGAACCAAACAAAAACCAATGAAGAATTTCAACAAAGATATAGTGAGTATCTACTATATGCTGGCCCCTGTGTATGCTTTTCAGTCACATGTTCCATTATCACAACAATGCTGAGACAATCATCATTGTCTCTATCTCACAGAGCAACTAAGAGACTCTCCTAAAGTTTCAGGGCCAAGAACAATAGACCACCTCTCCTGGTCTCCATGTCTCCTGGTCTTTCCACTGTAAGAATATGTTTGTTTTAAGTAAGAGACTTATGCATATGTGCACACATGCCAGTATTGGGGCTTAAACGCAGGGCCATGTTGCTTAGCTTTATCACTTAAGGCTGATGCTCTACCACTTGAGCACAGCTCTGTCGTAGTTAATTAGAGATAAGAGTTTCACAGACTTTCCTGCCCAGTCTGGCTTCAAACCGTAATTCTCATATCTCAGTCTCCCTGGTAGCTAAGATTACAAGCATGAGTCACTGACACCCTGCTTACTAAGGACCCTTTTCATCTGGAGTTCCTTCATAACCTACCCTTTGCGCACACACATACACAGAAGCTCCTAATTTCCAGCAAGTCATTTGATAACTGCTGGAGAGAGACCATATCCTTTCCTTCTACCTCTGTTGTTGAACAATGACAATATCACTGTCCCAATACTTTAGTCAGAGGGAGGAAAGGGAGGAAATATTTCCATGACTTAAGTAATTTTCCATCCTTAGGAACAAGGACATGGGAAGAAGTAATATACATGGAAGTTTGACCATAAGATTCTAACACTACTTTTAAACAATGCTAATCTCTCTTGTAATGTGGCCTAAATCCTAAAATCTGTTTGCTAGCTCCCTTTCTTCTAGATCAAGTAGACATACAAATCTTAATAAAATATGCATAAACCATAAATATACCAGCAAATGAACTAGATTAAATTCTCATATCGACACAGATTTTCCTTGCAGCTTGCACACAATTTGACTCTGGTCCAAGCCATGCTGACCTGAAATAGTTGCTGGCTGCGGCGAGCACCACGCGGTGGCAGGAGAATTCCTGAATGTCCACACACAAGATGACATCTGTCAGAGCTTTTTCCACTCGGAGGGTCTCCAGGCCATTCTGAAGAATTAAGGAAAGTCCCGTATCATCAAATTTCACCTTCTCCCCATTTAAGATTTCCAAGTCTCCCTTGTTCTGGGAGTTCTCTTCTATAGCAGGCGCCAGAGGCCCTTCCAAATTCTTCTCTATCACCTCACCCATGGCCCAGGAGCCCCTTTGTCTTGCCATCAATATTCAGACTGAAGGAGCACCCAAGTTTCAGGCAGGTCACATTGCAGAAGCGGGGCGGATTTCCTGTGCAGGGCCCTCCACTTATCACCAGCTGTCACACACACATAACAGGAAGTCTCGCACTTTCTCATCCTGTTACTATAAAGTCTGCTCAGCGCCATGCAGGCCCTGTGCAGCTGCCTCTTGGCTAAGTTTCCTCCCAGTATCTGTTACCTAGGTAACTGGTACACCTAGAAGCAGTCACCTCCCCTTCCTGCTAGGTTACATCCTGGGCCCCCCTGGCCTTCCATCTGACCAAGGGTGGGTCCTAGGCCCTGAGGTCACATCCAGATCCAGTGTGGCCACACCTTTCCCCCACCTGGCCGCACCTCTTCCTTTCCCTGGCCTACATAAGTCCTGGCCTGAGGATGGGTCTCTCCTTTTAGCCATGCCTCTCCACCATGCACAGTAAATAGACTTCTTTTCCTGCTCAAATAGTGCGTGGTGTTCTCTTCATGGGCTACCTAATGAAACCTACCTACTTAATATACCTTACAGTTACTACAAATGCCAGCAGCTCCTATTCTCCTTTCTGTGCTAGAAGTTAGAGTGTTTGTATAAGAGGAGGCTCTAGGAGAGAAGGGATGGCTTCTCAGAGTCCACTGGGAGCTCTGTGTGGCTATTTTGGTCCATCTCCCACCTCACATCCGTGAATAGGAAGCCTCGGGTTCTGGTTACAACGGTTGTGTTCCAAGTGGGACAAGGTGGCAATGATGGGATGGGAAGAAGACATTCCACAGTCCTTCATCTGACTGTTGCCAGCCTCTGAGATTCCATTATAAGCTACCATCCTATTCCTTGGGGACCTTGGTGACCTCACTTAGCCCTGACATTCTCATTTCATCAAGAAAGACATTAATGTCTCACACCCAAAATAATGTCTAAAAGAAGAAATAGTCTCCAAAATTCCATCCCCAAGGTCTTGTCTTTCAGAAGACCAATCAGAGTAGGTCAACATCTGATTGTTCTTGCAAGTCTCAAATTGGCCCAATCATACCCAATGTCTACTGACCATGCATTACATCAAATAGTAGATCATAAAGCACTTTCATTATCTCTTAGGTCTCAGCTAATTAACAATAATTCTATTAAAATCCTATGACGTGAGCAAGGAACGTCAAAACAGATGGGCAAGTTTGCTTCTTTCCACAATGTCTGAATTTATTAAGCTACATCAATTTTGTTGTCATTGTTTTGTTGAGTACTACTGCCTTTGCATGATAGTCATGAGCCAATTATCTAATTGTTGAAGAGGTTCTTTTTTTTTTTTTTTTGTCAGTCCTGGGCTTGAACTCAGAGCCTGGGCACTGACCCTGAGCTTCTTTTGCTCAAGGCTAGAATTCTGCCACTTGAGTCCCAGTGCAACTTCCAGCTTTTTCTGATTATGTGGTACTGAGGAATCAAACCCAGGGCTTCCTGCTAGGCAAACACTCCACCACTAAGCACATTCCCAGCCCTAAGAGATTCTTTTATTCCAATCTTAGTTTCTAATATTAACTCTCTGGCCACACTTTACTCATCACAATGTCATATAAATTGCAGAATGGCTAAGAGAAGTTAAAAGGGTACAAAGAGGCCTTGCCTAAGGCAAGAGCCACTGAGAATAGTTAGATAAGAAGTCAACTTAAAGCTGGGAAGTTGGCTCAGTGGTAGAGTGTTTGCCTCGCATGCCTGAGGCCCTGGGTTCGATTCCTCAGCACCACATAAGCAGAAAAAAAAAAGCTAGACGCAAAGAAGTCAACTTAAGAACCTAGCCAGGATCTGTTAAGGCACACTAGTGTCAAAACAAAGAAGGAGTTCAAGTTGCAAAGCTGGTTTTATTTAAAATTGGTTCAAAGCAGAGGTGCTCCTAAGTTTACTGGATCAGGACTAAGGATGGACGAATTGTGTCAATCAGAAATGAAGCTAAACCCTGGGGTCTGAGTCACAAGTTCTTTGCTTGTCTGACTATGATGCATGCACTAGCTGTTTAGATGAAAGGTCAGTGTGGACCCATGCACCCTTTCTTTATATGATCCAGATGAGGAGGTTGCATTATTCCTTGGGGTAGTATATTTCATAGTCCATGGCCTGGTTGGTGTGATATAATTTGTCTGATATTGTCTGATAAGTGTTTATTTGTTCCTGATTTACTTCAATAAATTCTTAGTGGTAATTTTTCACTGTGTATCAATCTGACTGTTTATTTGTGTCAGTCATTCAGTCAATTTGTGCAAATAAGATAGGGAGTCATTCTGTTTTAGTATTTGGATGTAACTTCTGCTTCATAAAATGGAGTCACTCAGGGCAAATCACAGCCTGAAAGCTAATGTTTTTTACAATATAAAGTAACTTTGGACCAGGACTTAATGTATCTTAGTTCTCACAGAGAACCAATGGAGGTAGTTATGAATTTCTTTATTGTATAACTCAAGAAACTAAAGTTCCTATTACAAAGCCACAGTAATAAAAACAGCTTGGTACTGACATAAGAATAGACCTGAGGGGCTGGGAAGGTGGCTCAGTGGCAGAGCGCTTGCCTTGCATGCTCAAGGCCCTGGGTTCCATTCCTCAGCACCACATAAGCAAAAAGAAAAAAGCCGGAAGTGGCACTGTGGCTCAAGTGGTAGAGCGCTAGCCTTGAGCTG